AAAAGATCTGATAGGTGAATTACTCTTCTGTATTGATACAAGTATTGATAAAAGTAAATCGAAGCTATAAAAATTGCAATAGAATAAATTATCTGTCTATTTTGGAAGTTCGTGCAATTTGCATTTCCGATTGGAGTTTGAATTTCGAATTAGATTTGAAAATTGTATTTTCAACAAATTTCCATTGTACAAGGGTGAAATTGATTTTCTCCGGTGGAAGATACAATCAATTTGTTTACAGTTCAATGAAGAACGTTTCATTGTCAGAGTTATTTCGCTATTAGTATTCACAAATTCCGGATAGTATTTTAATCAAGAGTTCCTGGTACCGTGAATTTAGAAGATTTAATTTTCTTTAATTATACGTGCGGCTGCATTGAGTCAGCAATTTCATGCCCGTTTCGTTGCACCTGCATAATGGCCTCTCATGCGGGAATTATAAAAGAAATTAACTCGCAAAAAAAAAAAAAAAAAATGAAAGAGAAACGCGGTCTATTTCCAGCATAGCCAGCCGCCCTGGAAACTCGAGTTTAGCCATTTCGGTTGTAGTAATGATTCTCGGGGTAATATTTTATTTTTTATACGGTGGACATATTAGAAGAAGTATACCACGATTGGCCTAAAAGTATTCAATCCGTTGGTCGTGCAATAGTGCTTCGTGCTGGTAGTCGAAAGATATACAGGCAAACATTGTTCAGACACGGTCTTCCTTTGTCAACGACTGAATGAAACCTGTGTCATTTCCCTCTGTCTCCGCTCTGAAGCGACGCATGTTGCGACATATTCTCTATTAGAGCATGCTCGCTAGGGGATTCCAATAAGAGAGGGCACGCTCTCACGGGTTTCCTAAACGTCACGAAGACAATAGAACCGGAGGGATGCTGAACTGTCGGTGTTAGTTGTCGCTTTAACACAAGCGTCGTTACCCCGTCGACGATGGTCTAAACGCCATATTGCTCACGGCGTTTATGCCCGAGCTTTACATTATTCCGACTTACGATAGTACCCGCTTGTATGACCGAATTTTTACCCCGTATTCAGGGCACGGTAGCTGAGAATAGTCCTATTCTCATCGGGAGAACATTGGCCAATTCGTTGACGCTATTTTCGCAAGGGTATAATTGATACGATCATTAAATTCACAAGCAACGTTACGTAACATTTCCGTAAGCACTTACACGCGGTGACTCGAAAGGCACGGTACAATCTAAAAGAAGCACAATATCGAGTTTTCCATTCTCTGTGGAAAGTTTTACGAGGCCTTCTCTGTTGTCCCCATGGCAAAGGATATAGATATCTCTCAGGATTAAGCTGCGAGCCAAAGGCAAGAGACAAGCGTCGCCCGGTGGTAGTTGAGCGGCAACCACCCTATTTTCCAGCTTTTCTATCTATTCTTACAAGTTACGTACACGGTTAGCGTATTCCTTCGAGCTTTCGTATTCTGCGAACGTTCGCCTGGCTTTCCCGTAAATTCAGGCGAGCTTAAGGTGAAACGCGAAAAGCTCGATAAGTATACCGAACGTCACGATATACTTGACACCAAAAGCTTTTCGGGTGGTCCGGCGTGTAACATGATCTCGAGAAAATACAATAAACACATATGTACGGTAATACCCTCTTTCAAGTGACAATTCATTGCCTTTGGATTCAGGTAACAGAGTTACATCTACAATCCCCTCGACTGTTTTTATTTATTTTATACCTGCAGTTGACGGTTCTACGTGTGGGCGGTGAGATATGCTTGCAACGTCATAAATTCATAAAAGTGTAGCGAATGGATTTGTAAGATTTTCTCGATGAAAATGAATTCAAACACGACCATGTTCGGACAGTATTCATAGTTTTAGTTAGATACGGTCGATGGTTTTTCAAAAATGGATTTGAATGACGTTCGGTCAAAAATTGACTGGAATTGGGTCGTGTTTGGATTCGTTTTAATCGGTACAGTTTTACTCAAAATCGAACCTGATCTTCAGAGGGGAATGTAGAACTTAAGTATAAAGTTTCGTTGCAATCCATTCAGCTGTTCAAACGCAGTCATGTTGACAAACACAACATTCTTGATTGCAGTGCTTTCCTTCTGTATAGGTCAGAGAGTAAAAAGCTGAGAAGTCGTAGTAGCTTGGGAATTGGATGTTGCTCCGTTTCTTTGCTTTAAATGGCTTAATAATACGATCTTTTACAATCTTACGTGCACTTTCTGGATATAAAAATTTTTATAGGTTACAGCCTGAGCAAGGCAATATTGTGGATTATCTAAACTATATCGAGGTCTAACAAAAATAAATGTCGATTCAATTAACGCGACCGAGCCAGGTCGTACTTTAATCCGAAACAGGTGCTTTAACATGTGTGGCCTTAATTTTATTTAATCATTTAATAACTCTAACGCTGACAACTTTTTTATCACTGAAAAGTTACGTGGTTACCGACAAGAATCTAGGATCGATAAAATCTTGTTTTCTGCTGCTTTATTAAAAGTATATACATTACATTTTCGATTCTAATTAAATTTTATATGCTTCTGAATGCGTTCGTTACGTGTTTGGTTTCGCATTTTTATTATTACGTTACTCTGATTGCTGATATAGGATCGTGAAAAGGTTTTTATAAAAACTGGAATGAAAGCACATTGACAATGGTTCAAAGCATTCCAGGTATCGAATACATTTCGCGGTATCTATAAATTTTATGCGATACGAGAGCGTGTCTCGCTTTTACGATGGGCATTTTCGAAAGCCGTGGAAAGCCGATATAAAATCGCATAATGCAGCTGCGCTATTTCGACTTGTACGCGTGCAATATTTATAATTTGACACACGTCATTAATAAATAAAAGAACACGTTACGTATAGCAAACATTAAGGATCCGACACACAGAGCTTAAAAATACATTGTAAATTATTTCATCTTTAATTCGAAAATATTTTCTTAATACCTTGTTGTTCTTTGTCGACGAACATATTCATTAATTTCATCGATTGATTAATCGGAGTATTATTGAAATGACAACAATATAATTGAAATTTAAGATTATACGATTCGTATTAAACATTTTATTCATTTGATCGTCAGTATGAAAATTTAAATTATATATTTCAATCTGTATCATCGAATGAAATTTCAAGGAGAGCTGAAAAAAAAAATCGCTGCAGTTGGAAACAATAAACTGCATGTTTTATCCGCAGTATGGCAGATATCGTTACTGAACAAGTAATAAGATATCTCGCGTATCCAGGATTTACTTTACCAAGTGAACTGAAAGCTTCTCCAATTTTACGCGACACCACTCCGGTGTCAGTTCTCAGAAATATGCACGGTGTACTGAAATATCACGATAAATGGCGAGCTCTCTCCGTAAAATACATTTTCAAAATATTTCTCCGTACCGTCTATTCGTACTTGTACGCAGTCCGTATAACGGTTAAATGATAAAATATTGAAAACACGATGATGACGTAGAGTACCGTTGCTATGAAAGGCTTTAAAAATTTTAAAGATCGAGTTTTTGATGGATGAAAGGAACGGAAAATGAAAGAGAAAAATTTGTTTGAAAACAATTTTGGGAAATAAACCACTCATCAATGTTCGGCTACCATGAACGATGAAATTATTAATAACTGTTATTTTGAGGGCTGTACGAAGCCACAATATTGCCTTTGGCCTGTAATTAAGGAGCAACAACTAATTTCAACGTAGCAAGGTGTATCCAAATCTATTTTGCGTACCGCGTAACAATCCTCTTATTAATTTGTAGCTACTTACATCGATCGTTTCCAATCAACATTAAGTACATCTTGATGTGTGTGCTATGTATCGTATGGCATAAACTCCAACAGATTCGCCTTATCCCTTCGACGTACTTGTCGAATGAACCAAATACCTGGAATTCCGGTGTGATAGAACGTTCCGTTTATGGTCCTGTGCCCTTTGACCGAACCCTACCAAGGATACGCAGAATTATTGTGGCACGGTTTCGATGGTATCCATGATTTATTAATATGGGATGCACGAAGAAGTAGCTTAACGCGTTAGACCTTAATCTATCTCCTTGGTGAATGGGCGGATCAACAGTTTCCTATTCGTGTTCATAAAATCTTACTTATTCAGCTTTGGCTAACTTTTCGAGCTCGAGTTCTCGATTGATTCGATTAACAGGATTTCAAATGTTATAGAGTGCTCCATTTGAGTCTGAGCTCCTAAGTTAGAGGTTTCGAAAATCCTATTCTTGTTTTTCGATTCTATTATTCGTTGAGTGAGGACTGGTCTGCTTGAAATCTTGGCATGTTTCTGGTATAATTGGTACTCTTCCTTCGTATACTTAGCTTTTCGAGAAGGTGAGCGCATTTACCTTATTAAACTCGTCATATTCTTCCCTGAAACGTTCGGTATCCCATAAGTATTAATCAATAGATCGAACCACTCGAAACGACAGTTGAAATACTAAAGTCCCACGTTCTTGGCCCACAGGTTCGGCGGAGGACGCTCCTCGGAGGATTCGTCGGGTCGAAAATAAATCGGTCAGGGCAATAGGAGAAAATCGAGCCTGGAATACTCGACGGAGAGGGCCAATTTCTCGGTACGATGGCTACGTAGAGCTTTAAAGGCGCCGCGGGTTCGAGACGATCGATGGAAATCGCGATTTATTTACCGCTCTGCTCGTCCCTGGGCCGCACGAACGTTTTAACGTTTGATAATTCGATTCGTCAGCCGGGAAACGACGTTAATTATGGCTCGAGACGGACGTCCAATCCTAGACGCTCGAGTCCACCGTCTAACGAGCGGGAAGAAAGCTCGACGAGCGAAGGTGACCGTGTAGAAATCGAAATCGACCTGGTAATTGGATACTCGTGATTTAGAGGTGTCGTGTCACGCGAAACGGCTTGATAATCGACGCTCGACCGATCCATGAAGTGCCTGGGGTTCAGGATCAGATAGTGTTGCGTTTACTGTATCGGTTGCTGCTACAGCAAGGGGCCATTGGGAACACGAACATCGAAATGAAGCTGGGAGATAATATGACCATGGAAGGTTAGTGTGATTAATTTACTTAGTAACCATGTATCCACCCATCCTTCGAGACGATTTGTACCATATTCTCGACCCCCGATAGTCCCAAAGTTGAGATCCGTTTGCAGTTGTTCGATCAAGTGTCTTCAAACTATTCCTTGTTCATAGAGATACGTGGTATGCTAGGTGCAGATATGTTTGCTTCGAATATTTCATTATTGGAGTAGCGAAACATGAGCTAATCTTGCATTACTAGAGTAGCCTAAGACGTTCCACGTTGTTGTTTTGAAGCATCTACGTTGAGACTGGTTAGCAGTTGAGCTTAATAGATGCTGGGAACTTACTTTGTTTCGTAACCCAACATACCATAAACGCAGTTGTTCGTTCAGCTACTGTGTGATTTTTAAATTGAGGAAGTGGTAATTTATTTGATCTTAGAAGATTAATCTGTGCGTGAGACTTGTACAATATTTGTTCCATTCAGAACGTAATGATTATGAATATAAATTGGCTTAAATGTAATCTAATTTAGCTTCATAACCGTTTATGGTCTAGATCGACAAAGGAAATGTGTTCTTTATTTCGGTGATGGGTGAACCTTCACCTGTTCCGTTGTCTTATCAGATACGGTGACGTTGAATGTTGGAAATAAATTCATGACGTCAGCAAATGCCTCCTCCTGCTTCCAACCAGTGTATACGCTTCTTTCTTCAATAACGTTTGTTCTGTCGTTTATGAAGATATTTACGTCCCCTCTGATGAATTTTAATCGCTTTTAACTTGCGAGTTTGAAGCACCCGGGCAGCACTAATGGTTGAACTTTAAACGTCAATCAAGGAAAACTTCTTTTTAGAGAACCAGTTGCATTCGAGTCGTAGAAGTCGTCGAGTCGTAACTAGCGAGAGCCAGTATTAATTGCATGCATACTGTTCTCTGTCCCCGGAGCACTATTTCGATCCCTCGCTTCAGCGATCATAATCTTTCGTTCGATGTAAGTTCGTCGTTAATTCGTCGTTCCGGGAACAGGGTGTCCAAACGTCTAGTTATGGTTTAGCGAAGTACCCGAGCTCAGTCGTGTGTAATTACTAATTACAGTTTATTCCGCCGAACTCTGATAACTAACTTGGGGGTTGTGTATAGATAGGTGCACCTAAGAGGGATCAAAACCGAAGATATCTAACTTCTCAGGTAATTCTGTCATACATACTAACTTGGGGGATCGAACTTATTCAGTTAGCGATCCACTATCGGTTGAGTAATTTTTTCGACAACTATCATTTTCACGTTCCATCCACGAGAAAGATTTATTTTAATTCTCCTGAGTCGCAGGGCGGAAATGATTGCCCCTGCACTATGATCGATAGCCTTTTGTCGGAAGAATTCGTTCCAACGGATGGTCCTAATCTATCTTATCGATCTCCAGAAAACTGTTCGTTCCTGATGGTCTGCAAACATTGCGGTTTGCCTCGTCAGGACTTCGTTAACACGTTCTTATTCGGTATTCAAATACTCGGTCGAACTCTGATGAAGCAAACCGTGGTGTTTACGAACCTTGGCACGAAACAAGCTAGAGACACGATTGCTATCTGAGATTCGGTAGCAGCAATTCCAGAATACTGTTTTATAAAGCGATAGTATTAAAGGTTTCATAATGTTTGTTGCAGTTCCAAATCAATTTAAAAACATGATTAATACCTTCTCGAAACAGTGGAAGCGAAAGATAATTTTTCAAATAAGTCGTTTATAGAGTGAGAAATTGTTTTGTTCTCGTTAAGAATATTCGGGGGGGTCCGATCCTTCGCAGCTTTATATTAATTATTATTATTCAATTGACGTGGTAGGGAGTAATACGAGCAGTTGATTGGATTGCCGATAATCAATAATGTCGTTTCATTACGTTTGAGTATGCACACATGCATATTCACGGAGTTGCTCCATACACCAGACGAAACCAGTTGCAGTTGATTATCCACGTGATAATTTCAACGCGATGATACTGCAAGACTTTCAAACGGATTTGCAATTCTTGATTTCAGACTACCAATCTGTCTTTCCTAAGTCGTGATATGATTGTTACAATCGACTCAAAAGTGTTTGTCAAGTCTAACAGTTTCGTTCATTGACTCCTTAATAACGAAAAAGTAATTTTTAAAATTGAAAGTGATAGATTACAATTAATTTTCGTAACTGTGCTTTCGGTAAAATTGGAAATCAAAAGGACCAGACGTCTGTTGAATGAATTGATGCAAAATTAACACATATGGTCCTGAATTTAGAGTTTGCAGAGTGGGTTACGAGGATGCATGGTTCGCCAAATTAGCGTCGCCAACCTCATTAAACGTTGTCGCGCGATCCTCTCTTTGCTCGACACGTTCACCTGTAATCAGTTGAAGCGATCGAAGCACTAATATCGAATCGTCACGGAGATCATTGTTTACGCGCCTCTAAAGGGTTTAGCGGGGATCAGTGATCGAGGCTGGTCTGTGATCGTCAAGCAAGGTCATTAATCAATACAAAGTTGATTAAGAGTCACGAAACTCTTCTGCTCCTCTTTTACTTCGTCTCCCTCCTTCTCATTGTCTCTGCTCAAGTAGAGCACAATCACCAGCATTCAGGATGTATTAACGGAGACAATAATTGTTGTGTTCCGAGAAACAAACTCTTGTTCTAATTTTAAATGCATTTATTCAACGTAGTCGAAAACTGAAAAAATTCATGTGGTCTTTGAGGTCGTTTCATTTATAAAAGGTATGGATTATTTGCTTCTGTGTTACAGCAGTGATTCTGACTCAATTCGATGGTTCGATCGCCGGAATATTTGTGGTTATTGCGTTTTGTTCGATCCCTTTTCTCAAAAGGTTCTATATTTTTAAAGCACGACAGTATCCAGAGGAAAATCGTGGATATTCGAGACGAAAGCGTGTTATTGCAGAGCCAGAACGATGTTCACGTTTGGATCATCGCAAATTGCTTCGTCTTGCAATGTCAACGTTTCCCCGCTACTCTCATGAATACGTTAAAGATGATCGATGGTGTCGTCGTTGAGGTATTTGAATATCCACTCCTACGCAACAGTGCCGCGATTGTCAAAACATTTTGCCACCGTTATGGTAAAGCCATTTTGTTGAAAATGTCGGGATCTTGATCGAATCAACCGTATTCGTCGCTGTTTTTATTTTATCAGAAGTTCCATCTTTTACCTTTCCGGTCCCTTCTGCCGTGGAAGAGTTGGATTCCCTCTATCTCGATCGTTCGGAGGAAGAAACGTTCACTTGTTTCTATTTTTCGTACTTTTGAAAGATTGATGACGCGTGGTATTCTCTCGAGAAATCTTCAATCTTTGGCGAGACACTATAATCCCCATCGAATACAACGAAACAAATCTATACTGATATTTCTCCTCGCGTAACAATACGTGAACGTATAAATCGTAGTTGATGCAATTCAGTACTGACATTGGATCCAAAAATTAATTTATTCCACACAAATTTGTAATTTTAAATGTCTCTGTATTCAAATGTTTTTTTACAGATGTATAGTTTCCGGAAGATGATTAATAGTAGCAACGGGAGTGCAGTTAGCTTGAGTAGTAGAAGCAGAATGGAGATAAATTGAGGTCCTGGAGTGCTGCAAAGGTCGTTCGGAAGGAAGACCAATTTTGGATCGTAAAAAATAATCCATGTTATTTATAGGTTTGCAGACCGAGCTTGCTCGAGAAAGGGCAGCAGAATGGTGATGAATGGAGACGCTTGATCGCACTAATTACTCGCAGGATGACAGTCTAGGTTGCTTGTAAGAACGGTACCAGAATGATGATGAATTAAGCAGCCTAGAAAATTACAAGCCCGATATTACTCACAGGATTCTTGTTCAAGTTAGGGGAATGGAATCAAAATGATCAGTTGTTGATCAGACGAGGATAGTCTTAATCTGTCTAGACTTTGTTTTAATCACAATATTGCGAGAGGGTAGATATAGGACAGGCTAGAAAGGACGACGTCGAGTGCAGCTCGGTACCACAAAGGGTTAGGGTTTACGAACCACGGTGAAAGGAATCCGTATTATTGAAATCCTGTGGATTGGAACGGTCGCTCGAGCGATGAGAACAAACAATTTTTAGCTGAACATCGGAATCAGTTTATAGAAAATGATAACAGATAAACAGAGGGCATGGTGCAGGAACGGGAGAAAACGCATCGTTGTAAAAGGGGAACCAATTATCGGGCACAAAGACCCTGCGGTGTACGCGTTAAGTAGAGCGATCAGAATCTCGGCAATTATTTTTCCATCGTTGTCGGGATCGATATCGTGTGTCACTGGAACGATTCCAGCGGGCAGGTCGAAGCTGGCCAGCAGCGTTCGTTCACTGAAAAGAGGATATGACCGAGATAACGCGGACACGGGTCCGGCCTCAAACGATTCGTGGTCCCTTGACGATTTAACAATTGACTTGTGCCTAGGAGTCGTCTACGGAGTAATTGACGCTGACCCGCGATAGCCGGTGCTTTGCTCTCGTTCCTGCATATTCGTCTAAGAAGGAATTATTTAATTTCTCGAACAAAGGGGGTCTCTGATCAAAGCGCACGAAGAGAACAGTCAACGATCCGTTGCTGGATCGACCGGGAGATTCGAGGCGCTTCTTTGACTAGCTTCCTCAAAGCAGTTTTGACATTCGTTCGAAAAATAAAACTGGGTCGTGTTTGCAATTCCGTAGCTCCCTCGTAAAAAAGTTCATAACTTTTGTGCGATCTTTTGGAGATCAGAGTAATCCAGGATCTCATTTGTTCCAGGATCTATCAGGTACGATTTTAGATATCCATTGCAACTATCTTATTTCTACTCTTGCATGATCGTTACTACCACAGAAATTCTTTTAAATTAGATTCCGATCTGGAACCAGGGCACAAAGGTTTCGTATTACTATTTGAAATGAAATGAGATTCATCGATGTCTGGCATTCATTGATATCTCTCAGAATGCTACTAGGAGGTCTCTTACTTCCGTAAGAACGGTAATTTGGCGGAGTATTGGTATCCTATCTGAAAGTTTCTTTTCTTTCTGTATGGTGAATGTAATATTCCTGTAATCTTAGGGAAGTTTACACAAAAGATCTTCGATTTCAGGGACTTCCTGTACCGGAAGAATAAAGATAATAGTAACAGTGAGTTTAGGAGTGTACTCACAGAATAATTAAAAATATATTGCATTAGATAGGTCGGAATTCAGAGCACTGTGCCAAATGGCGACATAATATTTTTCTATTCGAGTTATTCTATTCTAAAAAATCCGATATCAATATTTTGTTTGCGAAAGTGTTTCGTGTTCCATTGTTGCCCTAGGCACTGAAAGACCTAAGCACGTCTCTGGATGCCAAGATAGCTAAGAACTGTTGGAACTCTCCAGCTTCGAGCTTGCAATTTCTTTCGTTTCTAGAAGTCTCTAAGGGATTTCGCAGAGTTCGAAGCTAGCTTTTCTTCTACAAACATCGATGTCTGCGTTACAGAGCGTTATTCTCGCGTGGCATTGTTTGCCACGCCATTAACTTCCGCTCGCTGTAAGACTTTGGACAATTCCTTTGCCATTTCACGAACGACCACCACTAGTTGGCAATTCTATGGTGATCCGCCCTCTGAATAAGGGAGTTCACAATTTTATTGAAAGAAGACCGGGACAGTCATAGAAAATTCAGAAGACAGTGATATTATTGACATCTTTGATCCTGGATTTTTCTCTCTTCTATTGAAAAATATTCGTCCCCTGGTTAAAATCGGTAACAGTGATTTCTTAATAACGACAGCGAGTATTATTTACAATGTTGAGCCTGACGTGTTACGTTACTGGAAATTCGACAGGAAATGTTCATTTTGATGAAAACAATACTACGCAATAAAACGATAACTGATATACGGGGAATAAAGAATATACGGTTACAACCGACTCGTCCCGGTTTTAAATTTTCATTTTACTGTTCATATTTGATGTAACGTTGAAAACTAATCAATCGCTGGTAAATATCGAAAGAAAACACTCGTGACTGAAAAAACGGATAAAGGTGAAAGGATACGTACAAATATTAGGTATTGTTGATCCTATATTTCTGCATTCAAGGATTTGCGAGTTTTCGCCGAACCGTGTTAGAAACAAGGACTACTAAAATTTTCAACGGTTACCCGTTTCAGCAGCATCCATTAGCTTCTGTTTGAATGGCAAATAATAAAAGCTCTTTTATGCCAATGCCCACGCTGCGGCAATTTTCACTCGACTCGCAGGAATACGTAATCCTTCGAATGGTGATGCAAAATGTTTATTAAAGTCTTCTTTAAACCGGTTTTCCGCAATAGAGGGATTAAAGCTCGGTGCAAACGTACCCATGGCGATAAGATACTAACGACGCTAAGCGTCGACGGCGTAGGGGTTTTATTTTATTTCTGGCGAAGACGAAAAAAATTATCGCAGGTCGGAAAAATTGCGTGGAACGTTAAAGAGTTCTGATAATTTTATATCATGGCGAAATGGAGGGATAAAAAAAAAAAAAATCATCTGTATCAGAAATTGAGTTCCCTCAAAGGGACAAAAGAAATCCATCTGCTGTTTGTCGCGATAGCACGACGTAATAAGCTTAGCTATAATAATAGGTGCACCGGAGAAGCGATTCTCCAGTGAAACATGAGAATATTGTGGATTCTACCGTAGTATTAAATTTACTTGTTATTTTAGCCTCGTCAGCACAGCATAATTTTTGTTACGCGAATCATAGTAAACATGTAATACTTTCTATTTGTTTTTTTTGAATCACGAATCTAGAAACGGAATATCATCAAGAAATGTTTTTTCAACGGTTGTAAAGCTGAGATTTCAGCTCGAGTTTTTCCAGCCGGGGATACGTCTGTCGGAAAATGTGGAAGCTTCGAACGTTGTTCGATCCTCTCAGGGATTAATTATCGTTTAATTATCGTCTGCCGGGTGCGTCGACGTGCTAACGAAATTTGGCGCGACGCAGAACGGGGCAACAGGTTAACTTCGAAACGAAGGACGTCCTGCTCTCGTAACTTTTTTAATACGGTCAGTTAATGAACCTGGCTGTAGGGTAAATTTGTTCCAGTCCGAAGTTAAGTTAATGTCGACCAGCTAAGAATTGAATTAGCGCGTTGGATTTAGTGTGAATCAGGTCGTACCAATCATCGTAAATGAGAATCGATCGTTCGGAACCTTTCGAGCAGAAATTGTCGCGAACGGGCATCGAAATTGTCCATTTGAAATAAAATGGAATTTAAAAATATTGTCCCGCGAATGGGGTGTGACATAATCTCGTAAGCTCTTGCATTCCGAGTTGGCTCAAGCGATGCGCGGTGTAAGATGAAAGGGCAAAGTAAATATCCGTCGTCGTTTGGTTCACTGGCTTCGATCTTTGCACCTTTTTATAATCACAGGCTTGATTACGTCGATGATTTAATTACTTCCTATAAATCGATGCGTTCGTGCACCGAGCTAAGAAACTGTTGAAGTTTGGTTGCTCCGTCATCGATTTTTAATCAGTGGAATCATCCGGTCACTCTGAAATAATCCTTTCTGGTTGAAATCTGTAATTAGTGACGGGAATTGCGCTTTGATGCCTGAACTTATCTTCCGTTCGTCGAATTCGCAATGCTTCTTCCTGATTACTTTCATCGAAGTAATGTAGTAGCTGTAATGGGATTAGGAAGCGCAGTGCTGCCACCATTAGACCTTTTAATCAATTATCTCTTAACATGTGCGATAACGTAATAATCGAGTTCACCCAGTCTTTGATAGAATCGATAGAGAAGAAAGCATGATACGAGCGGGGACGTGTCGCTGAGAAATATTATTATCGATAATTATTATTAACGTCGGTTAATATTTAATTTTAACCTGCCATTGGACTGATGTGTAGATCATAATTTTGTCGTGGAGCGCTTCGTTTTTGAAGAAAATAAATCGTGCAGGCTTATCGGGTACATGAGCACTTGGCTAAGCCTCAACTAATCATCTTGTTATATAGACTTGTACTACTTCCGCCGGTTCTTGTGTTTGTAAACATTGCGAAAGGTCACGGCTTTAGAGCGATCGTGAAAAGAACCACTTTCTTAGAAGCTGTTCTCTATCCTATAAATAACTCGTTCGTCAGAGTTTGTAAATTATGCGAAGTATTAGAGTGCACAAATATTTATTAAAGTTGAAGTAGGTAATAAATAGCTCGAATGATTTGTGATTCGAGTAACGGATTCCCGCCATTCGTGAGTTCGCACTCCACAATTTCCGACAGACTGATGCCATTAATTGCTTGTAGATGGTGCTGTAGTCGTAATCAGTCCCCTGTAGATGGTGCTGTAATCGTAATCTATCGTCGGTAGATGGCGCTGTAGTCATAATGCCTTTGTTCCACGAATAGTGTAACTTATCTGTGTGGTAATTAACCGTAGAGATTTTTTTCTCCGTGTAACGAATAGTTCGTCTTTGGTTAACAGTATCCTAGTATTCCTCCAATTAATTTTCGCTGGATTTCATTTGCAACAAAGTGTCGACACTTAGTCGTGGAACCGACACGGTTCGCAAAACTTTAAACTCTATTAAACGATGGCTAAGTGGCCAACAGTAGTCTCGCGTGACTAGCGATCATCGTGTGTCATAAACGTTCAAAGGGCCAACTTTCTAATTAATAAACGCTTCTCGAGATTCCCGAGCCGGCAGAGAAATGACGATACGATAACAGTAATAGTAATAGAACAATATCGTTTCTCGTCGCAAGAATTGTTTATCAGAATGATCATCGAATACTGATGTTCGAGTATTCGAATATTCAAAGTTTATTCAAAGCATTCAAGCACCTATTAATTGGTCGAATAGTTCCGGCGCTGTCTCTGTTATTGCTCTCTGTTCGGTTTTCGCAATTTTCCACCGTCAGGTTTGTCACAAAATTATCTCCTCATTTCCTGGAAGTTCTCATAACCTGTTACCCGTATCTCCCTCGCTCTCGCTGTTCACCACTCTCGTCCTGCTTGTATACAGAGGCTAGCTTACAGGAGAGATAACGGAGATCAAATTTCACTTACCTCTAAGTACAGTGCTTTGTACTTACATAACTTCGATAGGGTAGTTGAAATCCAATTATAGATGTACTATCGAGGCCTCGAGACGATCTACGGTTAAAATCTGACTGAAATAAAGAATTAATACTTGGTTTTTAGGTAGAGCATTCAGTAATTATGTTTTTTTTTTTTATTCCAGCGTACAACATATGGGGAGACGTTCCTCCGCGAAAATGTCGACCACCGAAGATAGGCGATATTCCAAAGTGAGTACACTTCGAACCCTCCAACGAGAAATACTTCGTACGGATACGCAGATCTGTCGAACGGTGCCAATGAGGGAACGTGTGCTAGGTCCGATCAGAATGTTTAGACACACCCAGTATTCGCACGCACGCGGTATTAGCAGCATCCTCCGAAAAGTCTAACGGGCGGTAAATTTCGCTTCGATTAACCCCGACCTTCGACGCTATCGTCGCTCGAGCCACCGCGAGAAAAAAAGGGGTAGGAGGCAAGAACCACAACCTAATCTGCCATAATGCACCCCGACATGCAAATAGATATTTTTAACCTTGTCTCGAAGGCGATCGATAGCCGCGAAGGCGGCGCGGAGCTCGTTTAAATAATTGCTCCTCCCCGACGTCAGACACAGAACGCTTCGTGTTCTTTCGTGCTGGTCGTATTAAGGATACGACTGCTTTTTCCTTTCTTCCGTCGATTCTTCATCTATCGAGCAGGGCACGAAGGTCCCCTACCACCGGTGGATTGATTATTCCATCGCTCGTTGCTCTTTTCTGGCGATGGAATCAAGTTCTTCACGATACTCATTGACAAGAGCTCTGAGTTGGCATCAAATTTTTGAAAATTTCTTCTATGAAGAGTCGGATGCCAAAGCGAGAGTGATGAACTCTCCAGTCGTCCCTTAAATATTGTCTCTAGTACCTTGTCAAGTTTGCTACTTAACCTCTGTACGTGGCGCGGGAAATTTATCGAATCTCCGTGCAATTTATCCTGGTCTCCGACTCCTAAACGTCTCCCATTTAAAGTTTCGAAGTATTCTTAATCATAACCGGGACGCATAATCGGATTGAAGAACAAAATTTCACGGGAAATGTTCAGTCTCTCGATCCTTTTCCGGCGCGTATTAAATTTTGTTGATAAACCCTCGTGTTTAAAACCGAGAGAAAGAAATACCGAATTATTCGGTGGACTTGCATCGCAGCGGTGGTCGCGGATAATCCGAAATCAATAATTGAACGCCTCAAGGTACGGATCGCTCGGGCGCGGAATACCGAAATGATTTATAAATCTGTCCGGCTTCAACGTGACGCGGAACGAGTACCGAATTACGAGAACAAAAAGAACGAAGCGCGGGCTTCGATTATTGTTTGGTCGACGCGATGCATCATGGGAAGACGGCGTTGAATTTTCTGTCTTCCCCGAAACTCGTGGTCCCCGTGTGATCTACGAGGCTTGTGCACACGATGGGAATTTCGTCTGGGTTCCGTCGCGTGAGTTATTGTTCACCCGATGATTAATGTTGTTCGAGCTTATGTATAATACGAGGCGGTCTAGCTTACGCGAGTAAATGTGTGTCCGGAGGTTGGCAAATGCTGGCACTCGACCAAGCCGACTCTTAAAACTGAGACCGCGGATGCTGTGGCTAATGGAACGCTAAACCGTAAACGTATTTCGGTGGTTTGATACGCTGTGGATCTCTCCAAATCCGTGTTACCAGTATATTAATAACATGGTTATTGTTTTTGGGTCGATAGGCGTGGTTAAACTCGGACCATTTCCATTTGCCAGTATACTTCAGATCCTCGTCTGATCTTGTTGAGATCTTGATCGGCATTTCTGATAAGTTATTTCAATGTTGATGCCTGTATCGCAAGCAATAACTCGTTGTCCAGAAATAAGAGGACCCATCGGTGCCTCGGTAGCTCGAAAAGGATACTTGAATGGACGAGCATCGTCGGCGAAAAGCCCGCTTTTGACGCGCTCCATCGAACCGGAAGCTCCGTGGGCCAATGCAAGCTCAACGAAGCAGAGACTGACGACCCGACGTACACGCGGTTAACCTCGATGCATTTCGTCCTCCTTTCTATTTGTCCTCCCTCGCCGTTTCGTGATTAAAACCATCGGCCGGTTAACTTCTATGTTCCTGTACAGCGCGACGCCAACGTGATGCTATCTCCGTCGAGGTTGCGCACGGACGGACGGGTAAAGAAGGGAATCCTTGAGGCAGAAATGGAATACACGGTCGCGCACGGTCGGGTAATAAAATCGAACGAGAAAACGCCGTCGGACGAAAAAACACGAGCATTTATCGAGTAATTCTCGATAGTTCGTGTCGTTAACTAATTCCCACTGGCACGGAAAAGCACACCAATATTTTTGTGTTAGCATCGACAAATTTTGAGACCATATTCCATTTTGAACAGGACCTTTAAAGTTTAGAGTTTTATTACACGCCATGAATCCACAGAGTTAAATGTCAAGTGATGGCTAACAACCTGAAGTGACATGGCTACAGGTTTCTGATGGCACTATTCAGTGGAGACATGGCAGTCGCTCCAGAAACCTAGAATTGCAACTTTGTATCTCAGAGTAATTCATTACAAATGTAATATTTTTTAATTTGCGAGAATTCCAAATTCATCCCCCAGTAGAAGTGAGTTGGAACACGTTTCAAGGTTCACCGATTCCATAAGCATGGTTGGGACTCACCCGCGTGTCTGAAAGCGGTTAGGTTTCTGAGTCAGATCCTCTGACCCATATATGGATCATGGGCTCTCGCGTTAAGCGTGCTATAATAGTACACGCTTATAGAGGTCAGCATGGAAACATACAGAATTTTCCATTTATTTGTTTGGATGCCCATAAAGGAAGAAACTACGGAATAACGCGACGAAACGGGTCGCGACTGGCGACCCTGGTTTGACCATGCGTCTGAAAGAGGTCAGCCATCTTGTTAGCTGCATTCTCTTGAAGAATGAACCAGGGCGGTTGTAGCTGCAGATGAGAACGTTTGAAGTGTACATTCTCGTTTCCTCTGTCGCTTGAAAAAGTGACCTACAGAAGGCACCTCAAAGAAGTAGGATGCACACATCGTGAATTATAATGTCGGTGCTTTCGTCGCGTGTTACCAGTTGCATTCCTCTAGCAAGGAAATACAAGTTCCTACGAGACAAAGTAATTCGCTTTCTTTCGTGGAAGAAATTTAATTGTTAGCGTCCGTTTAATGCAGATTTTTATTTTAGGGTCCTCTTGGTTCGTAGGCGTGGGTGAAGAAATTCGATCGACGTTATCAGCGAATGATTATGAAAGAAATTTGCATACCTTTCACGCTTCGAGCCAGTTCGTTTGATGGGAATAATGCAAATGGTCCGCATAATTCAGTAAAATATACGAGGCTACGGTGTTTCTAAGTCACGTTAGATCGAGATACACGTCAAGATCGTTGGGAATTTTGCAAATTTGCATCTCGCGTGACACTCATGCAAATTTCGTCTCAATTACCTTTCGCGTTCCTACGGCCACATGAGCGAGAGGCATAGTTAATCGTTACTTAACCGTGTCCCGCGTCTCACGGTTATCTAAAACGGTTGAAAAATGTTTCGCTCGAGCGCCACTTTTTCTTTTCGAATTAAGAGGGAATTGGTCGCGTGCCCCATTCGCAGGTTACACATGGTTGTTTATTACGTACGATCGTATCCGTCACGGCAGCTCGGAACGCATCGAACTAACCGAGGAAATCGCCTTTCTGTCTGGAATTTTTTTTCTTATATTAACAAGGACGTTGTAGTTACGATCAGTCCCATCTCATTTGCGATTTGCTGTTTTTTAATTGCAGAATTGTGTAGGAATGAATTCCCTTGGTCGCAAGGCTTGAACAAATCTTCCACGGTTAGTTACGCCTGACAAAATGTTTCTTCTAATTACCTGTCTCTTTTCTCGTTTAACAATGGGATAGTCGTAGAAATGAGACGGATGTTCGAACGCTTGAACGAAGCGTGAGCAAATTGCAGGTTCGCATAGTGGAGTGTAAATCACTCGCAGTTCTTTCCATTACGTAAATTGAGTGGCGCGACTATAAGAATTTTGAATCACGCGAAACGTCGAGATGTTTTAATAATACAAAAGAAGGGAGATATTAAAAATATTTAATATGGAGTCTGTTAGCGAGGCAGTGTTCTAGCTATCGTGAAGGAACAGGACATGTATATTTAAATACGTGATCGCAAATCGCGTACTCTCTATGAAAATCTTAGCTGAAAGGAGGACGGAACTAACCATCCCCTGGAGTTGAATAGCTGGTTCTCGAGAAGGGCGAGATGTAGCGTCCAGGATTCTCCAGCTAGCGCATTATAATTAAGAGCCTTTCATCGAGAGCACGCAGACGTTAGTTAGGAAACACCCAGAGTCTTGGCTCGAGCATGAAAATAAAGTAGGATTCAGCTATCAGGCATACATAGAACCAGCAACTAGTTATTCAAAGTTATTTTTTATTATCAGTTAGTGGACTTTCGTTACTAGTTGAACAGAATCAACTAGGTGGTCAAAGTTAGGGTCATATTACTGTGTCTTTACGAAAAGATGGCTAGTGGGGCAGCTTAGGGGTCCATAGAAGTACTCTACTTGCTCCGTCTGACTCCATTTATGGCGCTCCCCTGGTTCTCACCTCCCAACGTTATAAGAGGTGAAATTATTATTAGTACCTTCTACTTGTTTCGTGTAAACACTCATACAGTGAGGTTCAAAATAGCTAGGGTTAAAGAGGGATGAACTATTTAATCCTAGTTGGACTATCAGATGAGTATTCCCTAGTTGCAGATAACGAATCTTCCAGTTGGATCTGTAGTAATTGAGATTCTATGAATTCTGTGGGTCAGACGTGAGAGTGTTTGTTAGCAGGAAGAATGGTGGATGGAAAATTTCGACTTGAATAAAGAATTGTGGACTGGGAGCTCAAAGGTAATCGGTGATATTCGATTATCTGTCGAGGAGTCAGGTTCTCTGAGGCGTTCGAGCCACTGACACATGGGAATCCGAAGCCTTCTCGGTATAAGCAATTCTTCGTCCAATCCATCGACGATCAATTCGCCAGATTGACGTGCAGCGGTTCAGCTGAGACCCGTTCGTAGGATTTACAGGGGCTTTATTTTTGAAAAAGCTTCGTTTCACGTTAATGGATTCGTAATACGATTCCGATTTTTCCGAACGAGTAAAACTCGATACTTCGAATCGTAGATTATCGCGATTT